ATTTCTGAAGAAGGGGCTGGGCCCGAAACGTCAGCCTTCCTGCTCCTCTGATGCTGCTTGGCCTGCTGTGTTCATCCAGCTCTACACCTTGTTATCTCAGATTCTCCCAGCATCTGCAGTTCCTACTATCTCTGATGCACTAACCCATGGCAAAGCAGCCTGCTTGATTGGCACACTACCTTCAACACTCACTCCACCCATCCTGGCATTAGCATGTACCATCTACAAAATGTACTGCAGCAACTTACCAAGGCTTCTTCAACTGCTCCTTCCACACATATGACCTTCACTATCAAGAAGGACAAGGGCAACCGATGAATGGGAACGCCACCAGTTGCAAGTGTCCTTCCGAGTTATACACCACCTTGACTTGGAAACATATCACTGTTGTTCGGTCAAAACCATGGATCTCCTGTCATGCCAGCATTTTGGGATTTTCTACAACCCACAGACTGTAGTGGGTTTAAGAAGGCAGCTCACCACCACTTTCTCCAGGGCAATAAATGTCAGCCAGCCAGTGATGCTAACAACCCAGGAATAAAGTGTTAAAAATTGAGCAGTCTTGATGTTCTGTTTTTCATCTTCCTGACCTGGATATATCCCATCTGATCAAAACTGACCACAGCATTCTGGTGATCAGTATACTGTACAGTTTAACACAACTTCCATTAGAACTGCACTGTTTTGTCAATATAGATGGCAGGTTGTTGTTCTATAATTATCTGACATATTGTACATCAAGTTGCCCAAATAACATTTCCACATCTCTTTCAAACCCACAGTCAGCTATTTCAACATTTTCTATTAAACACTTGCGTTGCTAGTTGTTTTGATTTGTGGGCAGGATTTACACACTTTAGTATTAAGTAACATTTTATTACTAAAATGACAACTATCAAATAATTAAGCATTTGGGGGAGAGGAATTATCCACACCTCAATGAGTAGGCCAGGGAGTCAAGCTATTTATTTTCATTCATAAGCCAATTTTCTCTTTCTACCTAGATTGAATACAAGAAAAACCACAATGAACATCTGTCAAAATACACTTCACTGGCCGATCCACCAGATGTTGATCTGGCAAAAAAGGTTGTCAATCAACTAAGTGATGTGAGTACTAGCAACAACAGCAAGTATAAGAAGAAAAACTATTCCAAGGCGGGTGACAAAACTGTAATCAGGCAACAAATAGATGACGAGTTTAAGAAGGAGTTATTAAGAGGGTACTGACTAAAGTTATAGTGAAAAGGATATTTTAAGGTAGGCATTAAAGATGGAGAGGCTGCAGGATGGCGTAGTAGGATGTATGGTTGAGGGGCAGAATTTTATTGAGGATCTATCAGTGACCTCTTCCTTTGCATCCACATCCTGCCTCTTGATGACAAAATCCAAAGATGTGGCTTTATCTTTTGCATGTGTATTGAAGATCTCACATGTACCACTGCCAAGTTTCTTTTCACTCTTGCATTGATTTTCTTTGTCCATCTGCAGTCCCTCAGCCAGCTCCAATTTCCTCAGGTCATTGGCTTCAGATTCCAGCTCTTGCTCTGAGTTCAAGTTTTTACAATAACCAGAGGGGTGGTACTGTGTAAGTTATACCCACTGGTGTTTAGCAGAGTGACAGGAATATCAGATTGTGAGGCGCCTTGACAGCATAGATATGGAAAGGACGTTTCCTCTTATGGGAGAATACTATGGTTAATCATTAACCATAATAGCCCAAGCCAAACATAGACCCACATGGGAATTCCTAGAGGCATGGCTCTCCACCAATACTTCAGTCAACAAACAAATAGAACTGGACCCCATATATAAATCCATACAGATCAAAACCAGAAATGACAGTACTCACCATAACGGACCAAACAGTATAAATTCCAAACAGAGTAGAATAACATCGCTTCATCGGGCTCCACTGATGATGTCACCTAGCATGGTGTTGAAACATCTGAACAAAAACAAGCCAGCTCGGCCAGCAAGTCAACAAACTCATAATGAAAATACTATGGCCTTCCATTTTCTTGCAGATTAAGTACCATAAAGACTACAACAAGAATAAGGGCAAGTGGAGCCAGACACCTTGCTATGATGTCGCAGTTGCCCGAATGAATGCTGACAATTTGAGCACTGTAAGTACATTTTTCAAACCTGTCCAGCTTCTCATGTAAAATATGCTGAGGTGAAGAAGAAGGTGAGGGAGCTGATATGTACACAGCCCAGCCACTAAACCAGCTCAATCCCAGATTCAGCTTCCTCCCTATTGCTCTAGTTAGCTGCACATTGTCATAGATCCCAGTCAGGAAGGGAGAAAAACAATTTAAAGTTTTCATCTTGATCTCTGTTTTTGGGTTCAGGGGTGTATGTCTGCAGTGTGTAACCTAATATAAAAGTGTGTTTAGACTGGCTCCAGTTGTATCCTTCACCAACTGGTATATCTGGAGAAGGAAAGATAGAAACCCTCAGATTGTGGGGTAGCTTGGGATAAGGGTGTTTTAGCTGACTGGTTGAAGCGGGTGGAGATGTGTTTGACAAATATTGAATCGCAACTCAGAATCATGGAATTGGAGGGTGGAAAATTGACCGATCGCAGCAGTGAGGAGGGATCACCATTGTCAGAAGAAGTGCTTGAGGAGTTATGGAGACCACTTCTGTTCCACTTGGTCCACAAGGTCTGTAAAGTACATAGCTCTTACAGCAAGTATAGCTCCTGTTTCCATTTGAGTCCAGGGGAAATCCAGCTATCAATAGTTCAATTTAAATCAGACTCCCAATTATACTCTGAAATGATGAGTCCTCCCTCTCCAGGACAGGTATGCAATGCAAACACTGCACTCAGAAATGGAGATGGGATTACAATCGATCACATGTCTCTGTAAAGTGAATCAAACCAACTTTTAAGTCTATCTGAAATAATTAAGACTGAAGTTGCAAATCATTCTTGCAGCACCCCTGTATATCTATTCTAAAGTCTTAATAATAATTCACCATTTGAAGGTAAAACAGATACAGCATTTTAAACATGGTCAAGCCAAGGTTATGTGTAGGAAAGGGGTGATGGATTTTGTTTTATACTGAACTGTCCAATGAAAATAACTGCACAGTTTATTTGCTTTGATAATGGCTTCTCAGCTTTAGTTAATGAACTATCAGATGATGACATCTAAAACAATAGCTTGATTTGTGCTTTTGTCCTTTTTTATTAGAAAAAATATAACGAGGGCTACGAGGAAATGAAAGACCAAATTTACTTCATGCAAACTGAAACTCCCGAATATAAAGCCAGCAAGCGTACTCAAAATGCTACTAGCCCGGTAAGTGATTCACAATTAAGCATCTTCATCTGATGTTCTTACTGCCAATTCCTTTGTACCAGAACTAATCAGTGCTCCTTCTGTGGAAATGTAGCGTGGCATTTAGTGGAAGTAATAGGGATCTCCTGGCTGGAGAGCTGGTGAAAACAGAATGTCAATACTTTTAGTGAAGGCTCAGCAAATGGAGTGCCACTAAAGTACTTCACCGGAGGATGGTGGGGGCCTTCCCCTGGGTCAAGGACATTGCCCGCCCTCACCTGCCAGGCAATAGAGAACCAGCAGCTCTATTGAATGGCAGGGCAACTGGGAAGTAGAACTGGGAGTACGATAGGCACCTGAGGCTTTGGAATGTCACTGACTGTAACAGGTAAATGATGGGAGAGGTTAGGGGGCTGGAGATTGATGAAGGAAAGCCAGGAGGTAGCGTAAGGGCATGGCTCTCATCGGGTCACACAACACCAACTACCCCACTTCCTGATGAGAATCTCTTTGCCTCATTTCCTGTTGATGCCTCGATCAGATGCAAAGTGCCTGGCGATGAGGGATCCTCCTCTGGGAGCCCACAAGCAACCCCACACCAGTTTACTTTACTGACTACTTGTCATGCTCACCACATGTTAAATCAGGTTAACACTAGTAGTGATGAGTTGAAGCCGTAAGTGGGTGAGTAAAGTGCACTAAAGGATCTCATTGACTGTCGGGCTGGAAGGCCATTAATGGGCATTCTGATGCATGGACTTCATCAGGGTGTTTACTCATCATTCAGGACTGAATCATGCTATCATTCAGTACAGAAGAGGTCCTTTGGCCTATTGAGTCTGTACTGCCAAAAGCACCTACACAAACTATTTACACAAGTCCTGCTTTCCTGCACTCGGCCCATAGCCTTGAATGTTATGAGTGAGGATCAGACAAAACAAATTGATCTAATATACAAAGTGAGACTACTCAGTGAGTTTCATAGGTTTACAATTGCAGCAAATATGAATGGTGAAGTGTGGGGAGAAACATTTCTAAATAGATGGGTTTTTAGATAGGTTGACCGCAATGTGAAGGTTAAATTCAGATGTATTTTGTTACTGGTATCCGGTGTTCTTCTTTCATATTTTCTATTATTGAGACGAGCAAGCTGGTTTGAAAATAGTCGTTGTGCCTCAAAAGCTCATATGGAGTTAGATACTGGCATTTCTTTGCCTCAACAATCAGCTCACCTGTCTCCAAAAACAAATGTTGGCTTTATGCATTAATAAACAGCTAACTTATAAGTGAAGGAATTCCACTAATCATTAATCCTTATTGCTTCTTTAGATAAAATACAGACAAGATTATGAGAAGACCAAAAATAAAACTGATTACAACATCCTACCAGCTACAGAAAATCCTCTGCTTCAACAGTTGAAGAAAGCCGGTGATATAGCAAGTGATGTAAGTATTTACAAGCACAATGCGCCTTTATTCAGAGGTAACCATTCTTATCACAAATTATTTTGCTGCAAAAAGGGGTCATTCAGTCCATCGTGACTGCAAATGGCTCTATTATCTGATCTGGCTCTATTATCCAGTGCCAATCTCCTACTTTTTCCCCATGTTCCTATACATCATTGCTATCCAAAGAAACATCCAATGCCCTTGTGAATGCCTCAATAGAATCTGCCTTCTTCACATTTCCACGCAGTGCATTAGATACCCGAGCAACTAGCTTCACAAAGATTTTTCCCACATCACCCTTGCTTCATTTGCATATCACTTTAAATTAAACCCTTCTTGTTCTTGTTATTTATTTAGAGCTTCTCTCTACTTACTTTGTCCAGGCTGCTCAATGATTTTGAAAACGTCAATCAGATCTCTTTCCAGCCTCATTCTATCCAGAGAGTATAGACCCAACTTCTTCAGTCTATAACCATAACTTAAGTTTCTGATATCTGGAACCATTTTTGTAAATTTCTTCTGCACTCTCTCCAATGCATTCCTATGATGTGGCACCCACAACAGCACCCAATACACCAGCTGAGACATTCCCTAGTCATTTCATAAGTGGGTTAAGGAAAAACAATACTGAGGACAAAGGAATAAAAGTACAAAAGAGGCATAGCAAAACTGAAAATTGTTTATGCTGGATGTCTGAAATAAAAGAAAAACATGCTGGAAACACTCAATAGCATTTGCAGAGTGAGGAACAGAAATGATTATTCGAGTCACTGACAAACCATGGAAGATATGGGAGAGGTGCTTCTTATTCATTTTTGTTGGATGTGTGCGTTGCTGGCTGGCCAGCAATTATTGGCCATACCTAGTTGCCCTTGAGAAGGTAGTGGTGAGCTGCCTTTTTGAAACGCTGCAGTCCACTGGCTGTAGGTTGACCCATAATGCCCTTAGGGAGGTAATTCCACGATTTTGACCCAGTGACAGTGAAGGAACGGTCATATATTTCAAGTCAGGATGGTAAGTGGCTTGGAGGGGAATTTGAAGGTAGTGGTTTTTCCATGTATCTTCTGCCCTTGTCCTTCTAGATGAAAGTGGTCGTGGGTTTGGAAGGTGCTGTCTGAGCATCTTTGGTGAATTTCTGCAGTACACACTGCTGCTACTAAGCATCAGTGCTAGAGGAAGTGGATGCTTGTGGATGTAGTGAAAATTAAGCGTGCTACTTTGTCCTGGATGGTGTCAAGCTTCTTGTGTTGCTGGAGCTGCACCCATCCAGGCTAATAGGAAGTATTCCACCACACTCCTGACTTCTGCCTTGTATATGGTGGACAGGCTTTGAGGAGTCAGGAGGTGAGTTACCTGCCACAGTATTCCCAGCTTCTGGCCTGCTCTTGTAGCCAGTGTGTTTATGTGGTGAGTCCATTTGATTTTCTATTCAATGGTAACCCCCAGGATGTTGATACTGGGGGATTCAGTGATGGTAATACCAGTGAATGTCTCTCATTGGTGATGGTCATAGCCTGGCATTTATGTGGTGAGAATGTTAATTACTACTTATCAGCCCAAGCCTGGATATTGTCCAGATCTTGTTGCATTTGAACATGGACTGCATCAGTATCTGAGGAGTCACAAATGATGCTGTGCATTATGCAATCATTGGCAAACATCCACACTTCTGACATTATAATGGAGGGAAGGTCATTGATGAAGCAGCTGAAGACAGTTGAGCCGAGACACTACCCTGAGGAACTTCTGCAGAGATGTCCTGGAGCTGAGATGATTGATCTCCAACAACCACAACCATTTTCCTATGTGTCAGGTATGACTCCAACGCTGGAGAGTTTGCCTCCGATACCCATTGATTCCAGTTTTGCTCGGGCTCCTTGATGCCACACTCTGTCGAATGCAGCTTTGATGTCAAGGAGTTGCACTCTAACCTTACCTCTGAAATTCAGCTCTTTTTTCCATGTTTGAACTGTGTCTGTAATGAGATCAGGAGCTGAGTGGCCCTGGCGGAGCCTAAACTGGGCATCACTGAGCAGATTATTGCAGATCACATGCAGTTTGATAGCACTGTTGATGACACTTTCTATCATATTACTGATGATGAGAGTAAGACTGATGGGACGGTAATTGGCCAGGTTGGCTTTGTCACGCCTTTTATGTGCACATAACTAAGCAATTTTCCACATTGTTGGGTAGATGCCAGTATTGTAATTGTAGTGGAACAGCTTGGCTAGGGAAGAGACAAGTTCAGGAGCACAAGTCTTCAATACTTTTTCCTGAATGTTGTCAGGGCCCATATCCTTTGCAGTATCCAGTGTCTCCAACCTTTTCTTAATATTATGTGGAGTGAATTGGATTGGCTGAAGACTGGTATCTATACTCCTGGGGACCACTGGAGGAGGCCGAGATGGATCTTCCACTTGACACTTCTGGCTGAAGATTGCTGTGAATGCTTCAACATTATCTTTTGCACAGATGTATCGGGTTCTTCAATCATTGAGGTTGGGGATATTTGTGGACCATCTTCCTGCAGTGAGTTGTTCAATTGTTCACCACCATTCTCAACTGGATGTGGCAGGACTGCAGAGCTTGGATCTGATCCATTGGTTGTGGGATCGCTTAGCTCTGTCTATCACTTGCTGCTTTTGCTGTTTGGCGTGCAAGTAGTCCTGTTTGGTAACTTTACCAGGTTGACACCTCATCTTCAGGTATGCCTGGTGCTGCTTCTGGTATGCCCTCCTGCATTCTCCATTGAACCCTAGTTCAACCATCCCCTGGCTTGATGGTAATGGTTGCGGTGGGGTTATGCCGGGCCATGAGGTAGCAGATTGTGCTGGAATACAATTCTGCTGTTGCTCATGGCCCACAATGCCTCATGGATGACCAGTCTTGAGTTGCTAGATCTGTTCGAACTCTATCCCATTTGGCACAGTGATAGTGCCGCACAACACGATGGAGGTTATTGACAATGTGAAGGCCGGACTTCATCTCCACAAGGACTGTGTTGGTCAGTCTTACCAACATTGTCATGGACAGATAAAACTGCAGCTGGCAGATTGGTTGAGGATGAGGTCAGTGCAAACCCAACTTAGCAGCTATGTATGTCCCTTAGGGCCTGACCAACTTGATCAGTAGTACTGCTGCCGAGCCACTCTTGGAGGTGGACATTGAAATCCCCACCCAGCGTACATTTTGTGCCCTTGCCATCCTCAGTGCTTCCTCCAAGTGTTGTTCAACATTGAGGAGTACTGATTCGTCAGCTGAGAGGGGATGGTACATGGTAATCAGTAGGAGGTTTCCTTGCCCATGTTTAACCTGGAGCCATGAGACTTCATAGTGTCCAGAGTCGATGTTGAGAACACCCAGGGCAACACCCTCCTGACTGTATACCATTGTGCCACCACCTATGCTGGGTCTGTCGTGCCGGTGAGACAGGACATATCCAGGGATGGTGATGGTGGTGCCTGGAACATTGTCTATACGGTATGATTCCATGAGTATGACTATGTCAGGCTGTTGCTTGATGAGTCTGTGAAACAGCTCTCCCAATTTTAGCACTAGTCCCCAGCTGCTAATAAGGAGGTCATTGCAGGGTCAGCAGGGCTGTTTCAGCCGTTTTTTTTTTTGGTGCGTAGATCAATGCCAGGTGATCTGTCCTGTTTCATTTCTTTGAGACTTTGTAGCAATTGATACAACTGAGTGGCTTGCTAGGTCATTTCAGAGGGCAATTGAGAGTCAACCAGATTGCTGTGGGTCTGGAGTCACATGTAGGCCAGACTAGGTGAGAACAATAGCAAACCAGATGGGTTTTTCCGACAATTGACAATGATTTCATGGTTGACAGTAGATTCTTAATTCCAATCCTCTTAAATTAAATTCAAATTCCGCCATCTGCCATGGGCCATCACCTACCTGATCAAAAACGTGGTGGTGGGAGGTGTGGAGAGGTAAAAAAGTTTCGGGAGGTGCATTCAGGAAGTTCAGCTGAAACAGCTAAATGATCTACTGTAATAGTGAGGTGAAGGTAGCTTTGGGTGCAGGTAATGGAGAAAGACCGGAGTGGAAGCCCAGAAGCACATGGGAAGGTAAGGTCACAGACATTGGTTGGGCTGATATGTTGAGGAGTTTGAAGATAACAGCAAGCATTTTAATTTCCTTTGAGCATCAAATATGTAAATTCTGTTCTGCAGACCTGTCACTGGCTCCTTTATTTTTGCAGAAAAAGTACAAGAATGATTACGAAAAGGCTTGCAAAAGTAGCATGAATTACTGTGAAACTCCAAAGTTCAAAACTGACCGAGTGCTCGCAAATCTCAGTGATGTAAGTACTGGAGTGGTCCATTAAACCCAGTGGTAAAGTATAGTATTTGAACTGAGCTGACATCGCTGTTCTGGATATTTCCATTTTAGATCAAATATAAGCAGATTTATGAAGATAATATCAAGGGCCATTATGTTGGCAGTCATGAGGATCCGTACATGATTCACTGTTTGACAGTTGGAGCAATGAAAAGTGATGTAAGTAAACAAAAACTTAGTTTGGGAACAACTAGTAAATTGCTATGGCCTATCTTGTTACCTCTGCCAATAAATAATACTATATTCTCTTCTTCTGAAGAAAAATTATAAGGCCGACTATGAGATGGATAAAGGAAGCTGTTATTTCCCCCAAACTGTTACCCCAGAGTATGAAGCTATGAAGAATTCTTACCAGTGTAAAGATGTAAGTATCTAAGAAGTGTTTGATCATGAGCACTTCAATTCAACCACTTCACCCAGAATTCTCACTGTCTGTGCACAAATCCAGGTCTTAATGTTTCATTGAACTAATGTGTTTGAATACAGAATAGTTAACATTTTATGTGATTCTAAAAGTCAAGTGAGAGGGGTGGCTTTTCTGCATGGAGATGAAGTTCAAACAATTTCAGATAACCAGAGATAGGATTGTGTGGAGTTCCTTCAGAATAAAGGATGTGCAAAGGGTAATGTGAGCAACCTCAATAATTCTTTTGGCCTGACAGCCAATTTCTTTTTCCAGGCAAATTTACAAAGTTTTGGAACTAGTTTCAGGGAAGCTTTAAGCTTTAAGTCTTGTGCATCTCTTAATGTTGTACCTTGGTTTCTCTAGTGTCATTTCTCTTGCTGTTGTTTCTGCTGTCTGAAGGAGGACATTATAATTAAAGGCTTTCAAAAAGGAAAACATTTTGATAGTGTGGTGATTGGTCATTGATGCATAATGGAAAATAATCAACAGTCTGTTCATATTAACTATGGCCATAAGCATATCATCAAGGTAGATAAAAGTCCTTCGCGTTTCTTTGGGCATGCTCAGTTTCTTTAGCTCTCCTTTGCTATCTGGTAGATCTGGAATGAAAATTTTGGCTATTTGTTGTTTAGGGATAAGTTCTAACAATGCTGAGGATGATATTCCATAATAATGCTGTCTTGGAATGTCGATAGTAATCCATTTTAAGAAACTTTCAGGTGCTTGGCCAACATGCAAATGTCATCTGATCTGTGGCACCCATCTTAAAAATCAAAGTGTCCTTTTTAAAAGAGAAAAGCAAGTTTAATATTTAAAAAAATATGTTCTCATATGATTGTACTTGTACATTCATTTCCAAATGTTGCAGAGATTTTCTTCACTGATTTTTTTTTTCTCTCTGGGAAATCATAGACAAAATGACATTTGGTTGTAAATAAAAAGTGTTAATGAAGAACAGGAGAATGCATCAGCTTTTAACCCTGCGTTGCCATTCAATAAGATCATGGTTGATCTTCAGTCTCAGCTGCACATTCCCAAATTATCTTCTTGAACCCTGATTCCATTCACATCAAATGTCTGTTGATTTCTGATCAGAGAAATGTTTTACTTGATCTGATTTTTAATGACAATTGGGATGTACATGCTACCATTTCTCTTCTAAAGGAATAAAGTTGGAGGATATTAAATTTCACAATTTGATGAGGTTCCACAAAATACTTTGGCTCACTTAATTGTAATTGGAATCTGAATTGGATTTTTTTAAATCTGAGCAATATAAAATGAAATGGAACAACATTTCTAACTTATGTCAGCAAATTAGAGTTAGCAATAATCACAAAAATTACATGATTGTAATATATTAAGTAGTAGGTCCAGGCTCTTTGGTATTTGTTTAAATGCATTATTCTTTGTGTGATATTTCAATTGTGTTTATTTTCTTACATCCTTTCGCACATGGAGAAGACAATTGTACAAAATAAAATATTGGATGTTCCAAAAATTCCTGGTGGAAAGTAGGGTCACTTATGTTGGTTAAAGCAAATTATTTACTTTGATGAATGAATATAATCTCATATTTTCAAATTAAAGTTTTACCTTATTTACAATTATTCATTACATTTTGCTGATGGTCACTGTTCTATAATGCATCCCTGACTAAATCTATTCAAATAAACACAGTTCTTTTTATTTATCCATGGGGAACAGCCTCTGCACTCTGTAATTCTATTGTGTTCTATTTCATACCAGGTCCTTTGTGTGGAGAACAGCACCAGCTAGTGGGCACAGTATAGACTGATTTGGGAGATAACTTCATCTTCCAATATTCAGAATAGCTTTTTTTTTTAAAAAAATACCATTAGATTATTTTAGCAATTACAAGAAAACATGATGCAATTAAATATTTGATACCTAGCTCAATAGAAAATATACTTGATGTAATGGATAATTTGCATAAGTCGCACAACTCTCTATGTTGTATCTTACCTTATGAGTGGACTTATTATGAAAACCTAACCCAGCAGAATGTAGCCAAGTTTTCCTCGGAAAAGAGTGGTATCACCAAAGTTTAATGGGAGCATTGGCAAAACTACATGGCTTTTGGACCTCCTCATAATTGAATCTATTGCTTAGCCTGAAACAGAAATGACCTCTCCCTAGCCCCTTTTCAAAACAAAATGATTTATAGGTTGGTATACCAGTATCCATCGATGAATGGGTGATAACAGTTTTAATGGTATTTGTTCTAAACCATATATAAACTGTTTTTGTTTCCTTGTTTCAATTACAGCAAGTCTATAAGAAGCACCCTGATAAAATCAAGTTTACTCAAGTGGCTGATTCTCCAGTGATGTTGCAAGCAAAGCTCAACGCTAAACAACTGAGTGACGTGAGTATTTATAAATGCGACAACTTTCTTACTGGTGTTATTGGAGTTAAACAGTTGTCCTGATTTTGGTCGTGTAAGTTCTTACATATTTGACTTGAAATGTTCTGCCAATTCTAAGACCTCAATTCGAGTAAGTTGAACAGGCTCAAACACGTGTAAGTATATCATTATATTTTCCAATCTATCACTAAAATTAGTGATCTGAAGTAAAAATATCATTCGTAATTTCTAGTTTCATTTAAGAATGGAAGGTTTAAATTTATAAAGTTTCTTCCAAATACGTGTTGCATGTATAAAGTATTCAGGATGAACCATCTGTTACCAGCAATCCATAAACTCATACCATTATGGCTTGTGCTGTCTAGTCACATAAAAGTTTACATTTGTATTCAATGCTTTTCTAATAAGTGCTGCATGAAGTATTTTAGTATGTTCCACACTACTGGCTCAATCATGTTTATCATCCTAAATTTCATTTTATTATTTTCCACAGCTAAACTACAAAGCAGACTATGAGAAGAAGAAGTTCAAATGTACTATTCCTCCTGATAACCCCTTTTTCATCCAGTCAAGGGTGAATGCATACAATCTGAGTGACGTAAGTAGTTGCAGTGCTTCAGATATGTTTTTTTTTAATTTCAGTTTTCATTTACAGCGAGTTTATTGTGAATGGAGATTTCTGACTATGGATAGATCTTGGGTTTACAAAATGTCAAAAAATGCCATTGTTTCTGTAAAATCATCTTTAAAATAATTAAAACTACTATAGTAGTTAAAGGTTGGAGGGGTGGTGTGGTGGGAAGATTGTGGGAAGGGGAGAAAATTACTGCTCTGATCCCATTTTGAACTGGCCCCAATCATTCATTTATCTCCTCTTTGGGGAATAACCTGGGTCACTTCAATGGGATGAAAATCAGGCAACATTGGTAATGGTGAACATTTGAATCAGCTTATTCCTTCTGGGGATGCACATGCAAATCACATTCCTTGTGCCATCCATTTGAGGAAGCACAGGAGACAGTCTAAGTAACCTGGGGAAGCAAGGCAGGATAGCAAGTTTGGTTGACACTTTGTGAGCAATTCCAGATAAGATACATGATCAGGAACCAAGCCCCAAAGTAGAAAGATAGAAAGATGGAAAGCAAGTGGATATGGTCCCATTTGTTGGGAAGTTAACTGGTGACGTTTATTGAGAAGGCCTATTGCAAAAATCACAATATCTATGTCAAATCACAAGATGAGTCTTTGAGAATATGGCTCTGGTTTCTCTTTCGTTCTACACATTCTTCATTAGACATCTGCTGAGAACTCACAGGGTTGAGTTTTATGCTCTCCCACCGACAGATTTGAACGTGGTGATATATGTAACATACCTATCTCCTGTTTGGGTCAGTTGAGCCCCTTAAGTTGCCATTAAGTAGCCTCATCCCAGCCATGCAAGTATTTACCCAGACTGGGGAGGGCCAATACAAGAAGGCCTACTGACATTTTAACTGCAGGGTTGGAACAGATTAGAGTAGGAACCATGGCACCTGGGAAAATCCAGTCCTCTGCCTTTAAGGTTTCTTTGAACCAATCTCTCACGTTTTTTTGTGGAGCCCTCTGTTTTTAGTTGAATTCAAAATCGTTTGACTAAACGCCTTCTTAAGATGTCAAGGGGGTGTGATTAACTCATTATAATTTCACATTGGCTTTTGCACACGTAGTCTTGCAACCCACCTATTTAGAATAGTTTTCATTTGCCTGTAATTGATGTTTGACTGTTGTATCCAAGCTGACTGGGATCAAATTTATTGCTTTTTAAGCATTGGTAATTACATTTGCTTGGTACAAGTGCCTCCTCTACTTGATGGGCCACACATTTCTCCCTAGCCTCGCCTGAAAGATCATTAGTTTTGCGTCCGTTTAACTCATTAAGTAGATCTGTGACACTGATTTCAATTTCCCTTGAATAATGGATATCCTACTAAAATTAGACATATTCTTGATCCTTGATGAGTACTTCTAGAAAATATTAATTTAATATTTTAAATGTTGAACCTTCAGTTCCTGTGTCCCTTTTATCAGAGAGGTAACTCCATCTCTAAATGTTCTTACTCTATGGATGTTTCAGCATAAGATTTAACATTCATCACTGCTGATCTCTTGAGCTTTTTATACATATCTAATATCCTTCTCCATCTATTATGGTTAGCTCTAGACCCTTTGAGTTTATCTACTCCTTTTTCTTGTAGTCTTTGTATGATTTGGTTGTATTATTAGCTTTTAATTCCCCTTATTCTTTAATTTAATTTTGTTTTACTTCCATACTTGGTCTTATAGAGTTTTAAAATATGTTCTATTTTTCCTCAACCAGGACATATTGCAGTAAAATTCCATAGTTAAATTCTTTGAATATTTCCTTTGTAAAATAATATATTTTCTGGCTCTGATGACCTTAATCTTGAGTTATATTGACAACTATATTGACATTTTTCATCATTATCTGTTGGGAAACTTTTAGTTTCCATGAAAACTGAGAATTCAAAATCGCGCACATGAAGAATTTCAAATACCACCTTGAATCTTGCTACTGATGGTACAAACCCTGATAGAGTAGGCCACACACTATAAAGCCACATTTTGACATTTAATCCTTGAAATAATTAACAATTGTTGTCATTTTGGGCTAGTTTTTTAATTTGGTGTCAAAACTATAATGTTTGGATCACGTCCTGGTTCCGATGTCGCACTCAGTCAGAAATAATTACCTGAAACAATTCTGGAAGGAGTGGCTGCTTCATAAATAGAGGGTGAATGTGCCATCCAGTTAAAGAAGGTGGCCATGCTCCAATGACGCTTAGTAGCTTCACAGTCCCTGGTGGGAGCTGCTGATGTAGGTCGGAGGAAAAGAAAGGGCACTTGAACTTAAAGTGCTCTTTGAACAACTTTGAGATAAAAATATAAGCAGTAGAAAAAAGATCACCAATGTCAGATTATCCCCAGAGGGGGGAGCCCTTGCGCTGGGTGGACTGGGGCCTCAGCTGCAGACATCACGCATGGTATGGTGATTTGAGGTGAAGTCTAGCCCCAGGATTGCCCTAATCAGCCCAAGAATGGCCTCAAGTGGCTACACATCACTTGTCGGATGAGTAGATTCTGAGCCCTCTACCTGGCCCTTTGCAAAATGGTTTAAGGTTGGAACAGTGCTGACAAAATGGCATACAAGTTAAAGAACGGGAAAATCCTGGTCATCTCCACATCCAGATCTGGTCCCAACACACACTTTGTAACATTGGCTTTTACCATTGTCTCTCAATTCTTACATTTATTATTCGTTTCTTTCTTGCTAGAATTGCTACAACTATGACTGGAACAAAGAAAAGGCCAAACATTGCAATATCAGAGAGGATTCAATCCCTGTGGTTGCAGCAAAGGCACATGCAAATATTGCAAGTGACGTAAGTAATCCTGGGTAATATTTAACCTCAATATTTGGAGCAAGTGGAAAATACTTTGAAAAAGAAAGAAGTGTTACCAGAGGGCACCACAACTATCACAAGTAGTTGAAGTTAATAGGTTAGATCCATTCTAGGACAAGTGAGATAAACAGACTGGGCAGAATTGGATTGAAGGACATATTCGTGGGGTTAAGTGAAATAGAAGTGGAAGATACGGTTCACATCCATGGCATGGATGCTTTCTCTGTTTACTGGCTGTAAGGGGCAAATCAATTTCTTGTAGGTTATATTTGTAAAACTATGTGGTTGTAATCATAGGGGATTTTAATTTTCCACACATTGACTGGGACTGCTATACTGTAAAAGATTTGGATGGGGGAGGGAGTTTATTAAATGTCTTCAAGAAAATTTTCCTGATCAACATGTAAATGTTCCTCCTAGAAAAGGAGCAAAACTTGATCTTCTCTTGGGAAATAAGGCAGGGCAAGTTACTGATGCCTTAGTAGGGGAACACTTTGTGACTAGTGATCACAATTCTATTGGTTTTAAAATAGTTATGGAAATGGATGAGCCTTCCATAAAACTTAAAAGTTCTTAATCTGAGTAAGGCAAATTTTAATAGTATGAGACAAAAGCTTTCAAACGTTGATTGGATTAGACTGTTCACAATTAAAGGTTCAACTGACAAGTGGGAGCCATTCAGAAGTGTGATAATGAGAGTTCAGAGACATTTATTCCTGTTAGAGTGAAAAGTGAGGCTGGTAAGATTAGGACACAGTGGATGAATAAAGATATTAAGGTTCTAGTCAAGCATAAAAAAGAATCTTATGTTAGATACAGACAACTGGAATCAAATGAATCTCTTGAAGAGTATAAAGGGTGTAGTGTCATTCTTAAGAGAGAATTCAGAAAGGCAAAGAGGGGATATGAGAGATAAGGTGAAGGACATTCCAAAGCTATTCTATATTAAGAGTAAAACAGCAACTACAGAGAGATAGAGGACCTTAAATATCAATGAAATTGTCTTTGTGTTGAATTTCAGGATGTGGGAGGGATATTAAATGAACATTTTGTGTCCATTTTTACGGTGGAAAAAGAAATGGAGGCTGGAGAACTCGGGGAAATAAATATTGATGTTTTGAAAACAGTTCACATTTACAAAAGAGGAAGTGTTGGAGATGTTAGAAAACATTAAAGGTGGATAAATCTCCAGAACCTGATCTGGTGTATCCCAGGACATTTTGGGACGTTAGGATGGAAATTGTGGTATTATCTATAACCATGGGTGAGGCCTGGAGGTGGCTAATGTTGTGCCTTTATCTATGAAAGGCTGTAAGGAGAATCCTGGGAACTATAGACCTGTGAGTCTGACATCATTGGTAGGTACATTGGTGGAGGTGATCCTGAAAGATAGGATTTGCATGCATTTGGAGAGGCAAGGAATGATTAGGAGTCGCCAGCTTGGTTTTGTGTGAGGGAAACCATGTCTCGCAAAACTTGATTGAGCTTTTTGAGGACATAACCAAAATGATTGATAAGGTCAAAGCAGTAGACGTTGTTTACTTGGACTTTAGTAAAGCCTTTGATAAGGTTCCACATAATAGATGAATCAGTAAAGTTAAATCACATGGGTTTCAGGGTGAGCTTGCCATTTGGATAGAAAGTTGGCTTTACAGTAGGAGATGCAGGCTGGTGGTTTATATTTGGACTGAAGACTTGTAACCAACAGTGTTCCACTGGGATTGCTTTTGGGTCCACTTTTGTTTGTCATTGATATAAATGAATTGGATGAGAATATATGAGGCATGGTTAGTAATTTTGCAGATGATGCCAAAATTAGTGGTATAGTGGGCAGTGAACAACATGCAAGATTACAAAGATGTTTGGATCAATTACGTCAATGGACTGAGGAGTGGCAGATGGAATTTAATTTGGATAAATGTGAGGTATTGCATTTAAAACAAACAAGGGCTGGAGTTACACAATTAGTGGTAGAGCACTGGGTAGTGTTGTAGAACAGAGAGACCTAAGGGTTTAGATACATAATTTTTTGAAATTTATGCAGCAAGTAGACAGGGTGGTTGAGAAGGCATTTAGCATGGTTGCCTTCATTGCTCAGACTTTTGAGTATAAAAATTGGAGCATCATGTTGAAGTTGTAAAGGTTGCTGCTGCGGCTTCTATTGGAGTACTGTGTGCAGTTCTGGTCGTCCTGAATAGGAAGCATATTATTAAACTGGAGGGGGTTCAGAAAAGATTTACTAGGATGTTGCTGGGAATAGAGAGTTTGAATTATAAAAGTAGGTTGGGACTTTTTTCCACTGGAGCAGAGGAGGTTGAGGCATAACTTTATAGGAGTTTATAAAATCATGAGGAGCATAGATAAGGTGAATTGCGAATGCCTTTTCCCTAAGGTTACGGAGTTCAAAACTAGGGGTCATATTTTTAAGGTGAGAGGAGTAAGATTTACAAAGGACATGAGGAGAAACGTTTTTACACAGAGGTTAGTGTGTGAAATGAACTCCCAAAGGAAGTAATGGGTGTAGGAGGGATATAGACCAAATGCAGGCAGGTGGGACTAGTTTAGTCTGGGAACATGGTTGCGTGGACTAGTTAGACCAAAAGGTCTGCTTCCATGCTATATGACTCTATGTTAATTTTGTGTTAAGTCATTATTCATGTATACACCAATTATGTGGAAAATGGGAGCTAGTACCAATTCATTGAAGTTAATAATGAGAGGTATCATTAACACAGAAGAGAAAGAACTTTGCTTTGTGTTAAATTGTAACATCTCTTCCCAGAATACTCTCATTTTCTTGAAACTGATACTCATCATACTAAGTGGGATTAATGTTTGATTTCTTTTTGTCTAATCTTCTCACTTGATGCTCGCACCAAGAGCTTTTAAATCAGGTGTTGAAATAAAATTCTCACCTTATTAACTCTCAGTGTCTACCTTTCAGGTCAAATATAAACAAAGCTATGAAAAGGCTCGTGGGAAGCACATTGGAGCTCAGTGTATAGAAGATGATCCTAAGATTTTACACTCCGTGCATGTGGCAAAGATGCAGAGTGAGGTAAGCAAGAAATCTGACTGGAGGGATTCAAATGTGGATTTTGAAGAAATAACAGCATGGAAGTGAGAGGCAAAATATTAAAACAAATAAAATAGTGCAGTGTTATTGATAGATTTTATTGTCACGTGTACTGACATACATTGAAAAGTTTTGTTTACAAGCAGTACAGACAGATCAAAAAGACTTAGAGGCATACAGGTTACATTGCAGGTTACGTTATTTGAGGCTAGAATCCATTCAACAGTCTGATAACGGCCAGAAAGAAGCTGTTCCTGAACCTGCTTATGCTTGTGTTCAGGTTTCTGTATCTTCTGCTGGATGGAAGAGGTTGTCGGAGATCTTTACCAGGGTGCAATGGGTCTTTGATGTTGGCTGCTTTTCCGCAGCAGCGAGCCATGTAACTGGAGCCCATGGATGGGAGGTTGGCTTGCATGATGGTCTGGGCTGTGCACACCACCTTCTGTAGTTTTTACGGCCCTGGGCAGAGCAGTTGCCAAACCAGGCCGTTATGCACCCAGACAGTATGCAGTCACTGGTGCATCTATAGAAGTTGGTGAGGGACCTTATAGACATGCCAAATTTCCTGAGCTGCCTGAGGAAGAAGAGACGTTTTTACACTTTCTTAACTGTTGCATTTACGTGGGAAGTCCAGGACAGGTCATCGGTTATTGTCACTCTGAGTAACTTGATGGTCTTCACTCTCTCAACCTCAGTTCTGTCGATGTAGATGGGGGCGTGTGCTCCTCCTTTCTTTCTAAAGTTGATGATTAGCTCGTCAGTTTTGCTGACGTTGGGAGACAAATTGCTTTTATTGCACTACATCACCAAGCCCTCTATTTCCAATCTGTATTTTGACTCGTCGTTGTTAGATATCCGTCCCACTACAGTGGTGTCATCAGCAAACTTGTAGATGGCTTTTGTTTGGAATTTGGCAACACAGTCATAGGTGAGCAGGGAGTACAGTAGGGGGCTGAGATGCATCCTTGGGAAGCTCCAGTATTGAGTGTTATAGTGGAGGAGGTGCATTTACCTATCCTTATTGATTGCGGTCTATGAGTCAGAAAGCTGAGGATCCAGTTGCAGAGGACGGAGCCGAAACCTAGGTATTGGAGCTTTGATATCGGTCTGGAGGAGATAATGGTGTTGGAGGTGGAGCCGTAATTGAGGAGCAGGAGTCTGATGTAAGTGTCTTTGTTGTCTGGATGTTCCAGGGATAAGTGCAGGGCTAGAGATATGGCATCTGCCGTGGACCTGTTATGTCAGTAGGCAAACTGTAGGGGGATTGATGCAGGTTGGGAGATTGGAGTTGATGTTGGCCATGGCCACCCTCTTGAAGCACTTCATGATTATTGAAGTCGGAGCTATTGGGTGGTAGTCATTAAGGCACACTACATGTGTTTTCTTGGGTACTGGCATGATGGTGGTCTTCTTGAAGCAGGTGGGGGCCTTTGGCTTGTTGGAGGGAGAGGTTGAAGATGTTGGTGAATACCTCCACCAGTTAGATCGCACAGGAACAGAGTGCTCGGCCATTCGGACAATCAAACCTGTTCTGCCATTCAATAATATCATGGCTTGTCTACTTGTGTTTTAAATTCCACCTTCCCTTCTGCTCATGATGATCTTTGATTCCCTTGCCTAACAAGAATCATAAATACCTCTGCCTTAAAAATATCCAATGACCTCGCCAGTACTGCTTTGAAGTTGTTGGTTGGTTTGCTGAGTTGACTGGTTTTCATGCAAACATTTTGTCTCTCTTCTAGGTGACATCGTCAGTGCTGTGTAGCCTCCGTTGAAGCACTGTTGTTCTGTCCTGCTTCAACGGAGGCTACACAGCACTGACTATTTCACCTAGAAGGGAGACGCAACATTTGCATGAAAACCTGTCAGCTCGGCGAACCAACGAACAACTCCAACTGCAACCTGAGCTACAGATCTTCATTAAAACATGTACTGCTTTGAGGCAGAAAATTCCAAAGTTGCACAACCCTTTGACAGAAATTTAAATTCCCAACATCTCCATCTCAAAAGAAGAATTTTTATTTTCCTTAACGGGATGAGGGTGTTGCTGGCTAAGCAGCATTTATTGCCCATCCCTAAATGCTCAGAGGGCAGTTCAGAGTCAACCACATTGCTGTGGGCCTGGAGTCACATGTAGGCCAGACCAGGTAAGGATGGCAGTTTCCTTCCCTAAAGGACATTAGTGAGCCAGATGGGTTTTTCCAACAATCGACAATGGATTCATGGTCATCATTAGATTCTTAATTCCAGATATTTTATTGAATTCAAATTCCACCATCTGCCATGGTGGGATTTGAACCTATGTCCCCAGAACATTATCTGGGTCTCTGGATTAACAGTCCAGCGATAATATCACTAGGCCATCGCCTCTTAAGTTTAGTACGGTGCCACTTAGTTCTGGACTCATCCTAATGAGGAAACATTCTTTCCATATCTATTTTGGCAGGATTATTCATCATCTTGTATCGTTCCATCAAGACACCCCTTACTCTTAGAGTCATAGAGTTGTACAGCATAGAAATAGACTCTTTGGCCCAACATATCCATGCAGACCAGATATCCTAAATTAATCCAGTCCCATTTGCCAGCTTTTGGCCCATCGTACTCTAAACCCTTTCAATTCATACACCCATCCAGATGCCTTTTAAATATTGTAATTGTACCGGTCTCCACCACTTCCTCTGGCAGCTCATTCCATACAAGCACCATCCACTGCATGAAAAAGTTGCCCCTTAGTTTCCTTTTAAATTTTTCCCTTCTCACCTTAAACCTATGCCTCTGGTTTTGGACTGCCCCACTCTGAGAAAAAAAATTGGCTATTCACCCTATCCATGCCCCTCATGATTTTATAAACCTCTATAAGGTCACCCTTCAGCCTCTGATGTTCCAGGGAAAATACCCCCAGCCTATTCAGCCTCTTCCTATAGCTCAAAACCTCCAACCCTCACAACATCCCTGTAAATCTTTTCTGAACCCTTTCAAGCTTCATAATTCCAGTGGAAACAAACCCATCCTGTCCAACTTAACCTTTTGAGACAACATGTCGAAGGGTATTCCAGAAGAAAGGAATTTTTGAGGAGATGATAGCTTTCAAGGGCACTGGGGTCAATGTGACGTGTGAATGAAGGCTGACAGTTCAATTATCCATGGTCCTTTTGCTGGTCTTCTTAGCCAAGCACAAAATTCACTGCTCCCAGAGTGTTCTAAAATCCTTGAGCCAATGTTTGCTATTGGATAGAGTTTCGTTGATGACCTACAACACCAAGCCTACTGACACATTGCAGGCATGCCTAACCCTGAACTGCAGAGTTGAGAACATTATGTTATTCAACACAGATTAATATCAAAAGAGTTATGTCCCTCTGGACAGTAAATTTAATGCCAAAGTTATTACTTTTTCTGGTAGTAGTTGAGTGACCACTCATTCCCCAAATCTGCTCAATTTCCCTGACCAGTTTGTTTATTTTCCCGTAAATCCGATTTCCGTTTCGACCAGGTTGAGATCAGGAACTGATAGCTTGGGACCAAAAGATGGTGCAGATGCATCTGGATTTAACATTTCAAAAGCCAAATTCAGTTGCTGATGTAACCAATCAGAAGTAAATTTCATTACCTTTCAGAGATCAGTCAGCCCTCCTTTGAAAGCTGTCGAGACAAATCTATTCGCTGAGTTCCAGGTAGCAAGACAGAAATCATTGCTTCAACAAGCAGCTAATACAATTTTATTTAAAACTCACAATGTAATGGCTAATGTAAAATTCACACGATAGTTAAATTGGCATTTTATGATTTGAAATATGGTGAGTTCTGCTCCTATCAAGAAAGTTGCATTTGCAGACAACCTCACGTTGCTGCTTTCGGATCAGCTTTAGCAGAGTTGACAGCATCAGAAAGATTTGACAGTCTAACTTGTATATTGTATACCTAACACACTCAAATCTTACGTGTGGCTGAAGACAGCAAGCTGAATTCACCTCAAAACCTATCATGTGGTGCTGCATTTTTCTCAGACCTTATCCACAACTCTCTCAACTTACTGTTTTGGCATGATCTGGAGGTGCCAGTGTTGGACAGGGGTGGACAAGGTCAAAAATCGCACGACAGCAGGTTATAGTCCAACAGGTGTATTTGAAAACACAAGCTTTCGGAGTCTCGATCCTTCTTCAGGTGTTAGTGAGAGAGCGGTGGCATCAGACACAGAACACATAAGCAAAAGATCAAAGGGTCATAGAACTGATGTGAATGCATTGAACAAACCTAAGATGACTGTTAAATCTTCAATCAGCTAGAAAGGATGATGTGGAGATGCCGATGTTGGACTGGAGTGGACAAGGCAAGAAATCCCACGACACCAGGTTATAGTCCAACAGGTTTATTTGAAAACACAAGCTTTCGGAGCCTCAGTCCTTCGATTGATTAATATGCAAATCCCAGAATTTCTTTCAAGTCACTGCCCCAAGATAACTAAAGGTTTTATCTGTATACGGGAGGTGGCACCTCAGGTCAGACAATGCATTTTAGGTGTGAGGCCTTCTTTAGAATCAGTCTGTGTTTTGACTTGGAGTCAGATTGGTTTTATTTCCAAAGTAGGAATTTATAAAATTCCACATTGACTATCTACAAGTTGTGTGCTTTTTAAGCAAAATAGAATGTATCTACAATTACAAATCTGCAAAAGCAAATTCACCCAATAGATTTATATGTGCGTGTGTGCATGGTAAACTGCAATCTGTCAATTCTGTTATGATTTGAGAATGTTGGTCTCAAAAGCACAAAAATGACTTATTTATTCTCTCATTTCAGCGTGCGTATAAAAAGGACTATGAGGACACAAAGACTAAATATCATACTCCACTTGATATGATCAATGTCTCCCAGGCCAAGAAGGCTCAGGAAATTGCCAGCAACTCACATTATAAACAACCAATAAATCGTTACTTTATGCCTCCTGACAGTTTGCCACTGAATTTGGCTAAGAAGTCCTACAGTTTGCAGAGTGATGTAAGTACTTCGTTTGATTGTTTAATGCATTTTATTATTATTTGGGCTCAAACTGGTTCCTCCATGTCTTATTGTACCCACAGGCTCAAATGTGATATCCAAAAAACTGTTGATGTCTGAATGTATTGATTATTGATATGATTGATTATTGGTAAATAACATTCCTCTCTGTGTATTTGCTTAACAGAACGAGTATAAAACCGAGTATAATAACTGGCAAAAAGGCATTGGCTGGGTTCCTTTTGGCTCCTTGGATGTTGAAAAGGCTAAGAGAGCTATGGATATCCTCAATGAGGTAGGTCACCACGCAGGAGTATCTTTTGGATTGATTTGTTCTAAAGCAGCCATTGAACACATTGCAAGAGCACAACAACCATTCAGTAGAACTGTGAATGGAAGAAATTCTCTCACTGTCGTGTATTCATGTATGTTGAGTTTAATAGTACAAAAGCTTTAAAGGATATGTGTATCTAAATCTGATTTGCATCGAAGCATTCTTTGGCACTAACGAGAATGATTTCTTAACAAAAATCTTTCTTTATATGTAACAGAGAAAGTATCGCCAGCCACCAGACACCATTAAATTCACTTCAATAGAAGATGCCCCAGAAACAGTCTTGGCAAAGGCTAACCAAGCACAGAGGAGTGATGTGAGTAGGGCATTTAGTAAATCTCCTCATCCCCGTTCCTAAGGAGCAAAACAATTTGAAACCTGGAGTACATTGTAGAAATGGATAAAACTGTTTTGCTTCTCATTCTAAAACATGCTGAAATTAACTACTTGTTTAATGATTATTTATCTGCAGAGATGTGTGTTCTTCCACTGGTAAACTTTTCTTCACTCAACATTTACATGCTTGGAAATTCTAACAAATAAGTTACGCTGTTAAAAATCAAGCTGATCAGTATAAAATTGCAAAATGGAGAAATGAATTTGTGATTAAATTGAAAAAGTTGAAACTATTTTTTCCTCTGCTCTTTTAAATATTTCTATCCTTTGACTAATGTATGTTTTGCTGTGTTTTCCACTATTGATTCAACATGAGGGTGCACAGATAAACGATGCTGTGCTTCTCTCACAGCCTCTCTTGAGAGTGTACTTGGAAATGTGAGAATATCTGCCATTCTCATCCTCCAGCTGGCATCATAGTCTCACCCTGAGGGAAATCACGGATAATAAAATCACTGTGCTACTGTTGGTACAGTAAATACATTCACCAGCATTTATGGCTGATACCTTAACCATTGTACACTGAACAAATACTGAAACAGAAACAGAAATGTCTGTAGGAACTGGTAAGGTCTGGCAGCATCTGTGGAGAGAAAGCAGAGTTAGAATTTGAGTCCACTAACCCTTCTTTAAATCGCAGGGTTGGATGTTTTGTTTATCCAAAACTAATATACATTAATATCTTGCCTGGGACCACACTCAACTGTATTCTACCCATATTTGCTGAGGATACAAATACAAGTAAGGAAAGCAAGTTCTGAGGATGATACAAAAAGTCTGCAAAAGACATAGGTTAAGTTGAGGTTGGTTGGTTTGCCGAGCTGGTTTGTTGTTCCGCAGACGT